GTCATCATGGTCACTGCGGTCACGGCGGTCATCATGGTCACTGCGGTTACTGCGGTCATCATGGTCACTGCGGTCATGGCGGTCATCATGGTCACTGCGGTCACTGCGGTCATGGCAGTCATCATGGTCACTGCGGTCATGGCAGTCATCATGGTCACTGCGGTCACTGTGTGACACTAACCTGCCCGCCACCCTGCCCCAGGGAGATCTTGCACACCAGCTCTGCCAGGTCGCTATGGAGACGGGCCAGCTGGGCCGTGTCGCGGGCGAACAGGACGTTGCTCGGGCTGCCGCCGGTCACCGCGCGGCGCAGCTCCTCCGACTCAGCCTGGCCCAGCCCCACGGCCAGCACGGTCACCCCTGCCACACCAACACACCCACAACAGTCTCAACGGCACGATCTGGGACACCGGACGGCAGACAGAGACTCCGGCGGCAGGGCGGGGGAGGCCGGCTCGGCCAGCGGACTGACCGGCAGCCCTGATGGCCTCCGAGGGAGCACCGAGGTCGTCCGCTGATCGTCCGTCGGCGACGATGACGAGGACACCGGGGACTTGGAGACGGCGGCCCGCAGAGGCAGCAAAGACAAACTGCTGAGCGAACTTTACTGCCTCGCCTGCAGGGGGCGACAGCACACTCACACATGGCTCGTATCCCACACGAAGCTACACAACGCTGCAAATCTTGACAAGGCAAGGGAAAGCATCACGATAAGATACCAAACAGCCGGGTGCCTCATTACAAGACAGTAAACACTAGTCGGCTCGGTACTGCACCCAAAAGCTCTGTACAGTGACACAGCACAGCTCTGCGCTGTAGAATGTGAGCAGCAAAGTTTAATACAGCCCAGAGCAGCTGAGTAGATGGTGTCCATGGGGAGCATGCTGGGGTACCACATGGCATCTGGGGGGACGTGCAGGGAGTGTACCCTACCAATGCTGTTGCCGGGGGTGTCGTCGAAGGGCACAGCCTCGATATCCTGCAGCAGGGTCTCGCGGTCGCTGTGTCGATTCAGCAGGAACCACACCTTCCCCCGCGAGCCGTACACTACCACCCCCACCTGGCCAGAGACAGGCAATGCAGATAATTACGACAATGTGACATGAGCGTTGTAACTCTTTCCATTATCGTCATCATTGGTTATTACTGTACAAGACACTAAGAAAAATGTAAAAACACAAGCACAATTAATTAACAATGCTCTTTTTGATCTAACATTCAGGGCAGCAGGAGCACATTTCCCAGTGTTTGGGACACATCTGGATTTCCCAGGATTCGGAGGGGCAGGTGTGAGCTCACCTGTGTGTCTTGCACTCCGATCCGGGAAAAGGAGGCAGCAGTGCTGTACAGGAGAGAGCGGATGGCCTCTGCATACTGGACACTGTCTCTCGAACCATGGACCAGAAACACCAAATCCACCCGGCCATCAGTGCACGCTGAAAGAGAGAGATGGGAGCAGTCAAGGAGGCAGAGACAGACAAATGGGAACCAGGTGAGAGAGGAGAGAGTTCATTCCTATGATGCAGTGTGACTGACCTGTTCTCCCCTGGACAGTTGTCTCTGGTCCCAGGTCTGAACCGAACACAGGCTGGATGGTGACGCCGTACTGCTGGCCCAGGCGCAGCCCTGTGATCCGGTACGACCCCACTGACCCAGGCAGTGTGATCCTCTGCTGGTCCTCTCCATCTGACCCAAGAGAGACAGCAGTGAGGTCAGTCAGCTTCACTCTCTCACCGATCTCTCCCTCACTCTCCACACTCTTTCATTCCTGATCGTCCCCACTTTTCCTCCTCCTCTTTCAACTTTTTTTTCCCTCTGGTCCCAGATCTGAGCCAAACACAGGCTGGATGGAGACAGCTGTACCATACTGCTGGCCCTAGTCTTTTTATATCCAAAGCAAATCAAGGGATTTTTAAATACCAATGAGAATCACAGCCACCTCTGCCCTGCAGATTTTACTAGCACTAATTTGTCCCAGTATCTGATACCTGATCTGACTCTGCTGTTTCCTGCATAATTAAGCCACACAATCCAGCTACATCCAGCTGTGATGCAACATGGACTCACCTCGGGAATCTCTCCAGCTCAGGACGTACCCGCTGGCACTGGGCACCAGGCTCCAGCTCAGCAGCATTGATGTCTGGGTGACGTCAGACACCTGCAGTCTGGAAGGAGGCTGCAGGGGGGCTGTGGGGCAGATCGTACCACACCAACCAGTCAATCAGCACAAACGACTAATGCTGCCGATCATGCCGCCTACCAGACTGAAGATCAAAGCAGTGAAAGAGAAGAAGAAGACAACGGCAGTGTCGCGGTACCTGTGCTGGCCACGACAGACACTGCATCCCCCTCTCGGTTCCCCAGAACCGCTGCAAACCGGATCGTATAGGTCAGCCCTGGCTGGAGCCCATCCAGGTCCAACGAAGACGCGTCTCCACCAATCAGACGGCTCTTCTCTGGCTCCCCTGCCAATCACAGACAAGGTCACGGAGGGCAGGTCTCCCCAGTCTATCCAGTAAAAAAACGCTCCATTTTCTCACAGCAACTGTGAATATTCTGAAGTACAGAACTGCAGTAGCCACTACTGCTGCCTCAGAGATCTAGGTTTTCCTGGACTTTTATTTTCTTTACAATATTTGAAGCTTTAAATACAAGATTTTAGCAAGAGTGACTAGGTAAATCGCTCAGACTGAGAAAACAATCCCCTTTTATTTAATCTCTTAAATGACTGAGGCACTGCTCTGTGAAGAGTCTGCATGTTCTCCCCAGGTTTGCTCCAGTTTCATCCCAGAGACAGGGTGACTGGCTTTTCCCAGGTCAGCCAGCTACTCTGAACTGACCACTCCATGGGGATGGTAGCTGGTTACTCTGCCCTTGTCACGTCACCACGCAGCTGTTCCGAACCAGAGCGATGGCTTCAGGCACAAGAGCCACAGCCGCTTCAGTGCGGATCAGAACAGCTAGAGTGAGCACACTGACACTAGCACATTACCTGCAGAGGATCTCCAGTAGATGCGGTATCCTGTTACCCCAGGGACTTGTGTCCAGATAAAGCGCAGCCTCCTCATAGAGGTCTCCACCACTCGGAAACCCCCCACCCTGTTGATCTCTGGCTCCAGGGCTGCAGGACAACCAGCATCAACACACCATGACATCAAACACCACCTCTATACAACATGCCATCATCATCAACACAACAGAAGCACACCATGACATCATCATCAACACACCATGAAACAACATCTATACAACATGAGATGACATAC